GGATTGGAGTTTGGCTGTATTGAACGAGGGACGTGACACGGTGGTTTTACGACGTTTGGAAGACTTGGCCATGACGGACAAGACTAACAGACACAAAGGAAAGACCACCACAAATAAAACCCCAAATCCAACTGGTAAAACCTAATAACCAATTGCAACCCCCAAAAAACAAATCAAAAGAACAAACCGTATTAGTGCCATATATTCAAGAACAAATACAATCAGGAGAATAGTAGTATTGTGATTCACACCAATAAACCAATAAATTCAAGCACAGCATTAGGGCAGACCTAAAACCTTATTGTGTAAGCAAAAAACTATCAAAATAACTCCTAAAAACCAAACAAAACCCACACAAAGACTAGTATGAGTTCAGTGGTATAAAGGAACCAAAACCAGAACACTAACACAACACAATGACAAGATGCACAAAATCTAGAAAAGAGGCACAAAAGAAGTAGAAAACAGAGGGTGTGAGAGGGAACCGGGAATTAAAACAAAAACAAAAACCCTAGACAACACATATGAACCAGAGCAACACACAGAAACAAAAGGACAAAACAAACACGATAAGAAGAGAGAAAAACGTACCAAAAACCTGAAAAGGAGAAATGGATTGAGGAAATAAACACCCTGCCTAGGAAAATTCAAACTACGAACAGCAGTAGAGGCAAAATCACCCTAGGAGAGAGACCAATCGTAGAAAAATGGGGGAAAATGAGACGGAAAAGACAGAGTGGCAAAATTTAAACCAAGACAGATCGCTTGAGCGAGAAGTTTGTCGCTCGAGCTAAGACACTTAAGTGCAAGAGGTCACTCGAGCCAAAAACCACATGCTCTCAGAATCTTGAACCACCTGCAAAAATAATAGATTTAGAAAAAGTTCACTCGAGCGAATTAGAAGAACCAAAACACCCTTAAACCACCCTTCTTAGTAGAATAAAAACACTCACACTGTCAAGAGAGACCTGAAACAAGAGGGGACTAGTACAATAGCTAGAATGTGACACTAAGATGAGATAATCCACAACCCATGAGGCCAGTAAACTCACAGTTTTAACAGTATGAAGCATAGTATCATGAGCAAATCAGATAAAGAATGATCAATGAGCATAAGCTATATGGGAATGCACAACTCAAAGACAAAATGAGAGCTCACATAATGAATGTGTGTATGTGTGTGTGTGCAATCCTTGAGAGGCCACAGAGCTAGAGTTAATCCTCGTAGTGATCGGATGGCTGGACCTCCGTCAAAATAAACTAAACATAACTGATAAAAGTCAAATCACTAGAAATCAAGGGGCATTTGTTGAGCAAAAACGGAAGCTCCCCCTCAATCAATGAGTCCTTTTTTTTATTATTTAAGTTTTGATTTTTCTTGCTTGTGGACACTCACGGGTGGCATGCACGCTCAAGAGTATAGAGACCAAACCAGAGAAGTATAAAAACAATAAGAATGGCCTGGTTGGTGCCTCTGAGGTAGCCTTTTCCTAATGCCCGGACGTCAATGAACTGAGGGAGGAATCGTGAAAGTAAAAAATGATGGTAGATGGTTAAGAGACTTAACATCACCCATGATCTACTAGTATAGGTCAATTCCTCTGAAAATGTATACGAGACACTGTTAGAGGTCCATAGAGAACTTTGATCACTTGTGCGGAAACTCCTGCAACAGTTTATCTCAAGGATGTGTACAGAATGAGATCATAAAGTCAATGAGGATGAGCATTCAGAATAAGCTATGAGCAAATAAACATGAAATCTTGCAAGAAGCATGAAAGGCGTTCATATGAGTCTAAATGTAGAGATGACATGAATCAATGACAATGAGATTATAGCATCCAAGTACACATAAAGCCAATCACTCTCACACACTCAAGTAACAGATCATACCTTAATGACTGAGCACTACACCCAAGGTCTTTCTAAGGAACTCAAACCTAAGAAGATCAAGGGATTTTGTAAAAATATCAGCTTTTTGATGCTCAATGGGTACATATTCAAGAACAACAAGGCCCTCTTCCACTGACTCTCAAATGAAATGATGATGAATGTCAATGTGTTTGGTGCAAGAGTGTTGGACAAGATTTTTAGAAATGTTAACGGCACTTGTGTTATCACAAAAAAGGGTGATAGTGTTCTGGTCTATACCATAGTCATGAAGCATTTACTTCATCCACAACATTTATGTATAACAACTCCCTGCTGCAATGTACTCAGCCTCAACAATCGAAAGAGATATGGCATTTTGCTTTTTGCTATGCCAGGCAACCAAATTATTCCCAAGGTAAAAACACCCTTCAGATGTGCTTTTAGGATCATCAGCACACCCTGCCCAGTCGGCATCAGAAAAACCAATGATTTTAGCGGTAGTGTCGGTCATGAACCAAATCCCATACCCCAATGTCCCATTTACATACTTAATGATTCGTTTAACTGCAAGCAGATGAGACTCTTTAGGACAGGCTTGGTAACCGGCACAAACACCTACACTAAATGCAATGTCAAGATGAGTAGTTGCGAGGTACAAAAGACTCCCTATCATACTCCTATAAAGGGTAGGATCAACATCAGTACCAGAGGAAGTTTTGGAAACGCAAAGGCTAGTGCTTATGGATATACGAGCATGTTTGGCTAACTCTAGACCGAACTTGGACACAAGATTTTTGGCATACTTGATCTGAGAAACAAACATACCCGAAGGAGACTGTTTAATTTGGAGACCCAAGAAGTAAGACAACTCCCCTATCATGCTCATTTCAAACATATGTGTCATGCAATCCGAGAAATATTTCACAAGAAAATCAGCAGTGGATCCAAACACAATATCATCAACGTAAATCTGAGCAACAAGTACATGAGACTTAGTATGTCTCACAAATAAGGTCTTGTCCACACTACCCCTTTGAAAATCAATATCGAGCAGAAAGGTAGTAAGTCTGTCATACCAAGCTCGAGGGGCTTGTTTCAACCCATATATTGCCTTGTCTAACTTATAGACATGGTGTGGATATTTTGGGTCCTCAAACCCTTTTGGTTGCTCAATATAAGCCTCTTCTTTCAAGTACCCATTCAAAAATGCACTTTTCACATCCATTTAAAACAGTTTGAACCCAAGAAAGCATGCAACACTAAGTAAAATACAAATAAATTCGAGACGTGTAACGAGGGAAAACGTCTTGTCATAGTCAACACCCTCTACCTGTGTGTACCCTTAAGTAACCAACCTAGCTTTATTTCTAACCATAGTACCATTCTCATCATATTTATTTTTAAAGATCCACTTGATACCTATCATATTCATGTCTCTAGGTCTGGGAACAAGAGTCCAAACTTTGTTACGTTCAAATTAACCTAATTCATCATACATTACATTAACCCAACTATCATCTAGTGAGGCCTCTTTTACATTCTTAGGTTCAATTAACAAAACATAGCACATGTGAGTTACCTCTTCCCGAACTTGTTTTCAGGTTTTCATTCAATCCGAAACATTGCCAATTACCTGTTGAACCGGATGGTTCAATTTTACCCTTGCTGATGGTTTTAACTCTGGACTGGTAGTGACGGAAGCATCAGAGGTAATGTCTCTTTATGCACTCTTTGGTCTTAGACTAACCATTGAAGTTGGTGCTGGCTTACCTTCTTGAGCTTGACTTGGTACTACAAATTGACTTTGTGGTTTAGTATCCAAGATTGAAGACTCACCATTTTCTTCCTCGTGTATTGCCGGAGTAGGAGAACCTGTGTCATCTATAACCACATTGATTGATTCCATTAGAGATAAAGTATGCAAGTTATAGACACGAAAAACTCTACTAGTGGTTGAATACCCTAGAAAAATGGAAGTTGGTGCTGGCTTACCTTCTTGAGCTTGACTTGGTGCTACAAATTGACTTTGTGGTTCAGTATCCAAGATTGAAGACTCACCATTTTCTTCCTCGTGTATTGTCGGAGTAGGAGAACATGTGTCATCTATAACCACATTGATTGATTCCATTAGAGATAAAGTATGCAAGTTATAGACACGAAAAACTCTACTAGTGGTTGAATACCCTAGAAAAATGGAAGTTGGTGCTGGCTTACCTTCTTGAGCTTGACTTGGTGCTACAAATTGACTTTGTGGTTCAGTATCCAAGATTGAAGACTCACCATTTTCTTCCTCGTGTATTGCCGGAGTAGGAGAACCTGTGTCATCTATAACCACATTGATTGATTCCATTAGAGATAAAGTATGCAAGTTATAGACACGAAAAACTCTACTAGTGGTTGAATACCCTAGAAAAATGGAAGTTGGTGCTGGCTTACCTTCTTGAGCTTGACTTGGTGCTACAAATTGACTTTGTGGTTCAGTATCCAAGATTGAAGACTCACCATTTTCTTCCTCGTGTATTGCCGGAGTAGGAGAACCTGTGTCATCTATAACCACATTGATTGATTCCATTAGAGATAAAGTATGCAAGTTATAGACACGAAAAACTCTACTAGTGGTTGAATACCCTAGAAAAATGGAAGTTGGTGCTGGCTTACCTTCTTGAGCTTGACTTGGTGCTACAAATTGACTTTGTGGTTCAGTATCCAAGATTGAAGACTCACCATTTTCTTCCTCGTGTATTGCCGGAGTAGGAGAACCTGTGTCATCTATAACCACATTGATTGATTCCATTAGAGATAAAGTATGCAAGTTATAGACACGAAAAACTCTACTAGTGGTTGAATACCCTAGAAAAATGGAAGTTGGTGCTGGCTTACCTTCTTGAGCTTGACTTGGTGCTACAAATTGACTTTGTGGTTCAGTATCCAAGATTGAAGACTCACCATTTTCTTCCTCGTGTATTGCCGGAGTAGGAGAACCTGTGTCATCTATAACCACATTGATTGATTCCATTAGAGATAAAGTATGCAAGTTATAGACACGAAAAACTCTACTAGTGGTTGAATACCCTAGAAAAATGGAAGTTGGTGCTGGCTTACCTTCTTGAGCTTGACTTGGTCTAACCGGGATTGATTTTGATCCACATCTATGTTTTGTTTTCATTTGCATCCTATTATTCACATTAGTTAGTGATTGTTCCTACACGATTGAAACACCAATATAAACAACAAAACTTAACATTAGTAAGAAGAAAATTAATTTTTGACAATTAACATAAAACATTATACCATGAATTCTTTACTATTCCACTTCTTGTCAATTAGAGATGTCCATTGATTAAGAGTAACACTTGTAGGTGGGTGGCTTCTCGCGTACTCCTCCCCTCTTGCATCCTTAAGTTGCTTGTATTGTTTGTGCAACCTATAGGTGAAGCTACTCAATCGCCGACCAAACTGTGTGTTTAAAGTCCTTGCTACATCACTCGGATTGCCTTGTAGATCAAACTGATCCTACAAAATCAAATCATTTTTTTTATAAGTTAAATAACCTAAATTTCAGACAAGCAGCAATGAGCCTGATTAAACAACAAAGAAAAAAAGATTGCATCAACAGATGTGTTAACAGTTGCAATTTAATTCCTAGATATGCAGGCATTATATATTGTAACAGTTGCAACAGATGTGTTAACAGAGGAATATGATGTCCATGTTTTTCTAGCAGCAAGTTCTTGTAATCACCCTAACAAAGAGAGTATTTCTTTCACACAATAATTACCATGTAATTTCAATTTCAATTTCAATTTCAATTTTCATCTGTCATGCCTCTTTTACTTGACAATAATTACCTCCAAGCGTTGGATCATCGGCTTCTTATCAGCATCGTGAACCTTATTCCACCTACAAATGCTCAAGTCTGGTAATTGCGTTCGAACCTCTATGCCAATCTTGGAGGCCAACTTAGAGGCTTGATCTCCCACTGGCGCACGGAAATGTTCAGGTACAGGAACCAACATCTTTCCATTTTTCTGGACAATGCGTTGGGTTTGTATGCCGCGTGTTGGACCACGACCACGTCTGTCATGTGATGCTGTAAGGACATAATGTTAATTGTGTTAATAAGTAAACAAATGCAAGTTAGACCTTAAATTAAATATAAGCAACTTTGCAAACTTACCGACACTACTAGATGCAGTCACCTCATGCACAGGTTGCACATTATGAGGTGGTAAGGGTTGGGTACCAATCTCTTGACGTGGGGGATCCATCCCTTCTTCTGGGGTGGGAGTTAATGGCCTCGAATGAGGCTGTAAACGTAACCCCGGTGGCATCTCTTGTTCCTGAAATAACATAATCGAATAGTAAAGAAGATATTTAACACAGTTAAAATATATTTTAAAAAAGATATGATGTTTAAGATATATGAAGAAGATATTTAAATAGTAAATGATATGTTCACACACAAATATAAAATAATGTATATAATACCTTGCGATAAAAGGAACCCAATGACTCGTTATCACTATCGTTCTCACTCTCTGACGGATTATACTCATCATCATCATCTACCTCAACCCTAATTTTCTTTTCCTTTGCATTTGCACATTTGGGCTGAACCACACTCATCAAAGAATTTGTAATATTCTTCACTCCAAGATTGTTCATTACCTCATAGTTCTTCTTGATTCGCTTATTTCTTTGTTTCTCATATTCTGTTAGCTTCTTAGTTCTCAAATCACCTGGTTTCAGCCATTGTCTTTTTCCTTTGACCATTTTCTACAACTATATAACATAATTCAACTTTAATTGGAAAATATAGACAATATAATTATTCACCATTAAATAAAAGAAGAAAAACATAATCCCAATGTTTCGAATTGTAATGCATATATTTTAACTCCAAATATTTCATAACAAGGAAGTTCCAATCCCTTGAATTAATATTTCACGCAAAAATTTTAAATCATATTGTAGAGTAGTGAAGGTTTCCATGGAAAAAAAATCAAGACAAGAGATCCTCTTCTTAAAAGAGGTGATGTTCCTGTATTGCATATATTTTAAATCCAATTAGGATTGATGATCATTGATGCTTAACATAATTATGTCTTGCATTAATCATATATTACATTTGATTTTCTAATTGTTATACATTATGCAATATTGCAAATTCTAAAAATATTTTTTCATAGACATCCTAACCATATTTGTATTTTTATTTATTTTTTGCTATATCGATGTATAGAATTTTATTACTTTTTAACTAAACTTGAATTTGAAATAGAATAAATATGCACTTATTTTCATTTTTTTGTTTTGAAAAACAGCTTAGATATGGTAGTGAGTATGCAGAGAAACCTTACAACAGTGGCAGTAATAGTACAAAGACGCCATGGCCATGATCATATGTTGAATGAAGAATATGGAAGCTATATTTATCCTACAAATGAGTCACCTTCTATCTCCTATAACAATAAGGCAAAGCAGCAGCAGCTCAGGCAGAGCAGCAGCAGCCCCATAATTCTAAACTATCAAGTTGCTCCATAATTCTAAACAATGGGATCTTTTGATAAGGCAGAGCAGCAGTGTAGCCACAGGCAGAGTAGCAGCAGCAGCCACAGCAGTCAGCTGCAGCCAAGGCCAAAGTCCACAGACACAGCAGCAAACAGCAGCCAGTTGCAGCCCAGATCACAGTCCACAGACAGAGTAGCTAATACTACAGCAGCTGCAGCTGACTGCTGTATCGCTCACAAACTCATACGCTTATAACAATTTGAATCTAAATAATCATAACCTGAGAGACAAAGTGTAACAAGTTGAACCTTCAAATATTACTTAAACGTTTTATGATCAACTCCTCTGATGATTTATTGCGTTTTTTTTTTTAATTAACTTTACTTATCAATAAAAAAAAAATCATTATTGTTGATATATGGTTGTGGAAGAACATGGGCTTTTGAGCTTTGCAAGATTTCAAATTTGAAGCAGCCTTGAAGAGTTTTAAAATAAAGTAAAAAGACAAGTTTTTAATATATACATACTATGTTACCAGAAACATATTATAACTTTAAAAATGGGTAAATTCACTTGTGATATTGGTATTTTATATCAAGTCCTATTTTTTTCTTTAGCCTTTTAATTATGATAACAAAGTCTGCTACATATTCACCCAGTTATTAAGAAGTTAACGAAAATTAACCACGTGGCGATCATGAGCAATTACCAAGTGGCTATTTCGGCCAATTTCTTAAACGAAGACTAATGGATAGGAGTTAAGAATTCTTTGTTCATAAATCTCTCCGTCCCAAAGTACTCACTTTTATTGGATCAAGTGAGAATTTTAAAATATAAAAATCTCGTGACATGTTTAAACAATTATCAGGATAAGAGTTAAGGATTCTCTGTTCATAAATCTCTCCATCCAAAAATAGTCACTTTTATTGGATTATGTGAGAATTTTAAAATATAAAAATCTCGTGACATGTTTAAACAATTATCAGGATAAGAGTTAAGGATTCTCTGTTCATAAATCTCTCCATCCAAAAATAGTCACTTTTATTGGATTATGTGAGAATTTTAAAATATAAAAATCTCGTGACATGTTTAAACAATTATCAGGATAAGAGTTAAGGATTCTCTGTTCATAAATCTCTCCATCCAAAAATAGTCACTTTTATTGGATTATGTGAGAATTTTAAAATATAAAAATCTCGTGACATGTTTAAACAATTATCAGGATAAGAGTTAAGGATTCTCTGTTCATAAATCTCTCCATCCAAAAATAGTCACTTTTATTGGATTATGTGAGAATTTTAAAATATAAAAATCTCGTGACATGTTTAAACAATTATCAGGATAAGAGTTAAGGATTCTCTGTTCATAAATCTCTCCATCCAAAAATAGTCACTTTTATTGGATTATGTGAGAATTTTAAAATATAAAAATCTCGTGACATGTTTAAACAATTATCAGGATAAGAGTTAAGGATTCTCTGTTCATAAATCTCTCCATCCAAAAATAGTCACTTTTATTGGATTATGTGAGAATTTTAAAATATAAAAATCTCGTGACATGTTTAAACAATTATCAGGATAAGAGTTAAGGATTCTCTGTTCATAAATCTCTCCATCCAAAAATAGTCACTTTTATTGGATTATGTGAGAATTTTAAAATATAAAAATCTCGTGACATGTTTAAACAATTATCAGGATAAGAGTTAAGGATTCTCTGTTCATAAATCTCTCCATCCAAAAATAGTCACTTTTATTGGATTATGTGAGAATTTTAAAATATAAAAATCTCATAATATGTTTCAACAATTATCAGTAGTGGTTTGAAAATTGACTATTTTAATTGACTTTTTACAAAAAGATGCACAAAAAAATATAATAATTTATAATGATTTTTTAACTTTTACACTAAATATATTCCCAATCGAGTCCTCAGTGTTTTGGGAATGGAGGATTCAAAGAGATTGATACAAAGGTTCTGTGCGTTTCCACAAAGGAGGTTCCTAGTCACATGTAATTTTTTTTTTAGGTACATCGGAAAGTTCCTAGTCACATGTAATAGAAACCATATTGTCCATTGAAACCAAGCTGGTGACAACTTCAAGGATCTCCTTCTTCACCATTCAAAGGATTGAAAAATTTATTAGTATATAGGTTGACTTTTACTAACCAATACACGTTTGCTAGGGTTAAAAAGCAGAGAAATTCATCTAAATTTCTGATTTTCAAATGCTTAGTTGCCAGCAAAAGACGAAAAATTATTTTCCTTGAAACTTGTTTCAAAAAAATCTTCCATTTCCAAGTTTGAACCTTACCCTAAAGCCAATGCAAGCCCTCAAAGTCAAATTTAAAATATTTACGAACTAGCAAGACAAAGAAAATAAGAACAATATAAAAAAGTGAATAATTTTTCTAAATTTTATTACTGAAAAAGAACTTAATAGTTGTAAAATCTTAAATTTCAATTTATAACAAACAATGCTTGGTGTAAGTCACAATTCATGCTTCAAATCAAGCTAAGATTACATAAAGTCAGAAACTGTGAAAAATAAAAGTTAGAATATATTCTAGAGAAACGTTACTCAAAACGGATTTATTTAAACTTTGAAATTAAGTTGTTAATATGTTTTCAAATACAATATATTTTTTCGTTCGGAGACCAATAGAATTCACCTAAAATTCAGATCGAATATGAATGTTTTGGCCTGATTCAATGACCTTGAAATATCAACAAAATTATTATTTTACCAACAATTTGTCAAACCGTTCCATGAATTTGCTGTCATTCACCACTGCATTTATACACCCAAATGTCACATATGACTTAGCAATTGGGTCAATTTGAACTGGTATGCTACTCATTTTCCCATATATATATATGGATTGACATTTCAAGTTTTATATTTCTTCTTCCAGGTAACTTCAGGGATGCAACCCCTCAAGTCAAAATTTAAGATATTTATTAAGTATACTAATGCACAAAAATGTATGGAATAAGAAAAATACAAGAAAAAAATAAACCACATAGAAAAGAGACAATTTTTCTGAAATTTTATTACTAAAAAAGAATTAAACAGCCTCGAAAACTTCAAGTTCAATTTATATCAAATAATGTTTGGTGACCAAATCACAATCCACAACCCAAATCAAGCCAAGATTGCCAGGGACAAATTTCATTAAAAGGCCTTTTATGTTTAAATATAAATTTTTATAATATTTATTGATTTCAAGAATTATTTAAATCGTTTACGAGGACTATGAAATAAAAATAGATAAAAAGTGTCATAAATTGTCTATATATATATGGAATGGATAGATTCAAAGTAAAGACTATACTAGATGCTTTTTAATGTAGATTTTCAAAACTCATCTATCTTTTTTAATGTAGATTTTCAATATATATGTATATATATATAAGAAGTGCGTGTTAAAAATATAACCCAAATTACTAGAATCGTTTTTCAAATATAGAGTTTGTGTTATGCATATCAGTGGGGAACTTTTATTTATTTGTTTTACTTTTGATTGCATAGAGGCCTTTCTCAAAAGAATCTTTTTATTAAAACGAACAGAGATATATTTTTAACACCCGTAGTTACGTTATTTCCTTTTTAATTATGACTAATTTTATTCTTTAATTATAATATTATTTTAAAATTTTTGTTATATTTTTTTTTTTGTGTTTGGCAATGATTTTTTTATTTTTTATTTTTTATAAATTATAAAGTTATGTCATTTCTTTCTATAGTTATGAAGTGCATATAATATACCCCTTTTGAAAAGTGTACCAAAATCTTTCTCAATGATTTTTTATTATATTTAAAAAATTTAAGGTCTATTTGAAAATTTGGCCTAAAGGCACTGCCTTACTGGCTTAGCATATAAGCTGGCCCTGAAGGCTACATAAAAAAGTCAAAAATGATCAAAAATAACATATTTGAGCCTAGCTATAGTCTGTAACCTAAAATATATAAGAAACTTATGTTGAAAAAAATGATTTTATGGTAACTTTAATGTGAAATTAAAGTAGGTATCAATCATTTTGAGGTGAAATTAAATAAGTTTAGATTCTTTGTAACAAGATATTTGCATGTAACAAATCCTGACCCATGATTAACGTTAATTCATGCTTAATGTGCCTAATAAGTTCTTGAGTTCAAATTCTGAATTAATTACATGTGTGCTGCATTATTTGTGATAATATCTGTTTAACGTAGAAAGATATGTTCGTATTTTCGCTTCGGTTTGTGAATTGAAGGCCTCATCGGCATCCGAATCAAAAATTGACTTGATTTATGTGTTAATTAGAATTTTTAGAATTTTATAATAGGTTCAATTCAAATCCGATTCGGAATGAATTAATTAGATTAATTTAATGCCCACTTTTTTTAGCCTTAATTAATTATCTTCAAGTGAGCCTATATAAGGCTTCTTATATGCCTTTATTCCTTCTTCCTTCTTCATTCAACATATTTGAGCTCCCTCATACAAGAAAAACGTGAGAGAGTGAGAAAGAGAAGGCAATTGAGATCAAAAGTTGGGATAGGAAAGAATTGCCAAGAAGTATTAGAGATTTGCAATGAATTTGGGAATTGAAGCTCCCTCACTTGTGCAATTCAAACTTTA